GGTCAGGAGAGGTCTGCCACGCCATGTAGTCACCTCCGGGGCAGGCGGGACCGAACTCATGTGGAAGTGGCTTAAGCTTCTTTGTGCTGTGCTTTAACCTGCTGCGCCACCAGGGAGGGCCAAATCTTGACAACTTTTTTAAAAAGCACATATCAAGTCACAAGAGTCACTCTTGTCCAGGTCTCTGGGTCATACTATGGCTACAAGCTATGTGTCTTAATGAACTGCCAGCCTTGCTAACACACGCATTTCCATAGTTTTCCTTAGAATTCAGTGTCTTCTGTTCCCCAAAAGTACACACAAACCTAGTTCTAAGCACCCAGAGTCTCTTCTGGGCTTTCAACAGACTGTGTCGCTGGGGCTCTGAAGGCTTTCCCATTCTAAGTTCGAAGTCCCAGCCTCACTCTGTCCCTGCTTACCCAGCTCTGGCCACACTGCTCTCCCGCTGTCCTGACCTGCTGCTGCTCACCCTCCTTTGCATCTGCTGTTCCTTCTGCTGGGACTACCTCTCCCCAGATAGATATCTGCAAGATCACCCTCCTTGTGCCCTCAGTTTTACCTTCTCCATGAAGACTACTTGACTACCCAAGTTAAAAGTTGCATTCAGATACCTTATTCACACATATGATATTCCCCTCTCTTTTTCCCTCTGTTTTCGTTTATTTTCTCCCAAAATGCATATCATTATCAAATGTAGTAAAACTCTCATTTATCCTGTTTACTATTATCTCCTCCTCTAATATGGAGCTCCATGAATGCAGATATTTTCTTTAAAAAAAATTTTATTTATTTATGCTTACAGAACTGGGGTACAGAAATGGGGTGGGTGAGAGGATTCACCAGAGACAGGGTGGGGAACAGAAGAGGCAGATCTACTGAAATACACTGCTGAGGGGAGCAGCGGCAGGTCAGGAGAGCTCTGCCATGCCATGTGGGTCATCTACCTGTCTGGGGATTAAATTCGTGCTGCAGTGGCTTCCAAGAGCTTCATAGTGTGGTGCTTTAACCTGCTGCCCCACCAAGAAGGGCCCAAATGTAGATATTTGCATCCCTTTTGTCGATTGTTATATTTCCAATACTTAGGAAAGTTGTAGGAAGCATTCGGTATTTGCTGAAGCAATAAATAAAAAATGAACCAAGCAGTCAAGCTCCAAAGAGTCTGATTATTGACACTGTTTTCCTTCTCCTCCCAGGAAACCCTCTATGGCCACACCCTCCTCTTGGGCCATGGCGCCTCTGAGTCAACTGAGTGGCCACATCAACTCCACCTGCGAGGCAGAAAACTCCACCAGCCTCAGCCGGACCCGCCCACAGGCCTACTACGCGCTCTCCTACTGTGTGCTAATCCTAGCCATCGTCTTCGGCAACGGCCTGGTGTGTGTGGCTGTGCTGCGGGAGCGGGCCCTGCAGACCACTACCAACTACCTGGTGGTGAGCCTGGCAGTCGCGGATCTACTGGTGGCCACCCTGGTGATGCCCTGGGTGGTATACCTAGAGGTGAGTGGTCCCCAGGCGTGGACCACCCACGCACCCATGTTTGTTTTTATCTTCCCTGCATGATCTGGGGGTAGGGGAAAAAGCAGACTCCTGATATTCTCCTTTCATGAGAGAACAGAGAATCTTAGTTGCTCACCTCAGAACCAGAGAGCTGGGAATGAGTCTGTCCTCAGATCTCTAGCATCCAGGTGACTGAACCTGAGTGATGGGACTCTTCCTAAAAATGTGTCAGGTTAACTGTCTGTAAAACTAAGTTCTCAAAGATTTGGGGTGTTGGGAGAGTTCTCAAAGATTTGGGGTGTTGAGAGAGGCAGTGCAGTGGGCGTCTTCATCGGTTTTATTGTATATGGGGGTTAGGGTATGCAGGGGGGATGAGATGTGGGGGGAGGAATTAAGTAAAACAAAAATGTTAATGAATGAGAGGAAAAGAGAGTAAGAATAGTCTGCAACTAGATCATACTTCTTTCAATGTTTCAACTGTCCTGGATGCTGCATCTTCCTCCTGCATACCAGTTCTCCACACGCTGCTACTGTAGAAACAGAAAACCTTCAAATTTATATTTTTGATGCCTCCATTAATAGTACAGAACCCTCGCCAGTTAGATAATACATCAGACCCTGGAGAATTCTTCTGGAGAGAAACAGTTCTTCAATTTGAAAGTATTTTCATTTGGAAGTGCAAAACAGAGTCAGAGGTGATCAAGACAAAACATGCATTTGCTAACAGAGAAATCAGGGTGCCTACACCTGTTCAAGAAACAGATATTCTTATCAGGAAAACATGCAATTACTCAAGAGTTTTTTTAAATACCTTAATATGCTATTAATATTTCTCCTCTACACAGTGTATCATTCTAAAGCGGTATCCAATGAGAGATCAAAATGATGCTATGATTAAGAGAAATTAAAATTCCTCAAATTAATATCTCAGTTAATATTAATAGTGAAGGTGACAGTTAATTAAGCGTGACATATCACAGGAGAGCAAAACCTGGAACATTGACTGCCTAGCCTGGTATCCATATTTAAGAACGCCTGAATACTAAAATAGATTTATGATTTCAACAGGAAGACATTAAGGAGTCAAGAAAAATAGAAAAGGAAAATAAAGAAAATTAGAATGGGAAGGATTTAAAAGCTAAGTGCGACAGAGTATGGATGTGTTTATTCTTCCCAATTAGGAGAATCCTGATGACAAAGGATCTTGCAATTCTCTTGACTCCTTATCAACCCAATCAGGCTGACGCCTCCTTAAAGTCAGACTATGTCTTTATTCTTTTTCTTCCTGAAATCCATACACACCACCTGGCACATAATATGTGTTAAATAAATATTTGATATATGAAGCCTTAAATGAATCTGTTCTGCAATGTATGCATCAGATGGGCAATTTCTGTATATGCTTTCTGCAGCCATAGCTATTGTTACAAAAAATAATTTTACATCCAATCATACTGAAAATGAAAAAGAGTTAGAAGCACATGATATTTCTGTTTTTAGAGTAAGGTCACTGTTAAGCGCCTCAAACTACTGTGGCTCAGTCAATGATAATACCACCTCACTGCTCACACCTACCCCAAGTATTTCTGTCCAACCCTATATGTTACTAAGATTCTTACTGAGGCTTTCCAGAATGTTGACTGTCAGAAAGAAATGCAGGAAAATAACCTTCATTCTAATAAGCATTTCTGCTTCCTTCTGAAAAGAAGCTAAGCTTTTGATATCTGTAATAAAGTCTTTCAAGGCACTCTTTGGCTGTCCATTGGTGATTATTTCTGGACCACACTGGAAAACCTCTATAAATACTAGAGACCCCATCCTAAGCACACTTGTCAATATAAATGATGTGCCCCCTTCCACAGCTGAGCCTGCAGAGAACTGACAGAAAATCTTGCATAAGATGTTTGTGGACTCTGGATGTTGGCTCTATGGTTTTCTCCCATGGGAACATTATTAGAGCTCTTCATTCTACCTCATAAAAGCCACCATGTCCTCTATCCAATAGGTTATTGGGTATAGGCGTACAATAACCAATGGTCAAATAAGTCTAAAAACATATTTTAAAAATTGGGGGAAGAAAAGACATCTCTCCATTGGAAAATGGAATTGTGGCTTTTGTTTTGGTCAACTCCCATTGCTTCAAGTTTCTAATCAAGGCAACTTGATAGCTCTGCATCACTTTTTCCAAAGTCCACAAAGATGTGTTGTGATAAATAACCAGCTATAATATTAGGAGGGTCTAATCCAAAGTATCAAACCTCCCTACCTACACCGGTCTACTTTTATCTTACTATTAAATATCTGATGCTTTTTGTGGACCTCCTAAGTAAATGAGATATCTAAATGAGAGAAAAGAGTGCCTTAACTCTAAAGAAATTATGAACATATAGAACAGGGAAGAGTGGTCATACTCTCACTCACTTGCCCTACTGAGGGTGCAGTTGGAGTAGCTAACCTACTAATTACATGATTATACCTGAAGGTGGAGAGGAGGCAGTGTTGACCACAGCCTGGTCTGTGTTTCAGGGCCTCCAGGATAGAACAGATGTGAGAAGAGCACTATGTGGAAGCCAAATAAGCTGCCAAATTCTCAGCTTCCTGTGCTGTGCTTGAGTATGTCTCTCTTCTTTGAAAGGAATGTTGGCTCGTATTGATTAGATATTTTCCTTTGAGGGCAAAATGACTCATGTTGTGAGATTCCAGTATGTGTGAGTTACGAATATTTTGAATATTTTGGAATAATTTGGGAAAATTGACTGTTACTTAAGTAAATGGAAAGTATTTTGCTCCTATAACCAAAATAATGAAGGGAGGTGATTGTTAGCGTTGGCTCAGCTGCCCTGTAGTGTATTCAAGCACCAGACTCTTCCTTCCTCCTCTTTACCGTCTGTGACAAGCTGGTTTACTTCCTCCCGATGCTCATAAAATGGCTGCCATGGCCCTGGGATCATGGCTGTATTCAAGAATAGAATTGTTGGGGACAGCAGATAATGGGAGTGGGTAGAGACTTGATTCATCTCTAAGGGATTTCACTTGCATCTAATTGATCACCACTGGATCATAGAGCTACCTTTAACTACAAAGGAGTGTGGAAAAGAAAATGTAGGTTTATTAAAAGAGAACATGAGCAGGTGAGGTAGGCAATAAAATGTCAAGTAACAGCATGTTTCTGCTGGAATTTACTGGGGTGAATGTCATTCCAACACAGGGTCAGATCATGACAAAGAATCAACTACACTTTCCTTACATTGGAAGGTTGCTGTTAGGCTCACCTGTCAGCAACTGAGAGAATTGCTTTGATATGTTAAAAACTGTGAAGTATAATAAATCTCTATTAAGATGCTTTTAGTTGTAAGTAAAAGGAAAAGATAAACAGAAGGCATTGGCTCTTCATACCAGGGACTTGAAAAGGCCTGTGGGGGGTGTTGCACTGCAGGCACAGTAGAAATAAGCTCCAGCTCCACTTCTCCACATTCTCTCAGCTGTTTTCTCCTGTCTACTGGCTTTATCTGCAAGCAAAGGGCAAGCTATAGGCTTCACCTGTGCACAGACTAAGAGAGAAAATCTGTGTCCCAGAATTTCTGGTGAGGTGTAAAGATGTACTTTGATTGAACTGGCGAGTAACACAAGATTTTCTCTGAACTACTCACTTGATGAAAAAGTTACTTTAGCACAGGCAGAGTGTCCTCCTGTCAACCACTTGGGAACCTCATGGACTCTCAGAGGAATCCGAGGACTGTTGGGAAGAAAAAGGAGGACAGTAAGCAAGTATGCACCCCACAGGTTTCCACTGGTACTGGGCTAGCCACTCAGCTCACAGGACTGGGGCAGCATTCATAGGTGGCCTAGCAGGGCCAATCAGCAACCTGTTTTCCTTGTCTCTCCTTGGGCCTAGTAGATAAGTTCGGAATAAAAAGCAGGCAGGTGACTGCATACATAGTTATACTATCAGAGATCCTGGTCTAGTTGTCACTTGAAGTTAGTTTTGCAGTATTTTCTAGAAAGTTCTTTTCTGTGCCCTACCAAGTAGTTCTATCTCAGATTCCCTCTCAAGTTTTAATTTCCTGCTTTAAAAGCTGCAGTCTGGTTGGAGCTCCCTCACTAAGCACAAACATCCCATTTTGTTCCACTAGGTTAAGCATCTTTTGTGATGTTTGACGCACTTATATCAGGGCTGAAAGGCAGCAGAGCAACCAGGAGACCATATGGAATAGAAACTCAGAGTGTGTGGGTCCCAGTGCGATGGGAGCTAAACAAGGTATAAGTCATGTCAACAGCAAAAGAGAACACAGTGGGTTCCAGCAGGAAGACCCACCACAGCGTAATCAAGGTCAGATAGTGCTGACAGGAAAGAGCACTGTTTTGTAATGATATTATTAAAAATAAAAGAAGTTGTTTTCTAAAGGAGAATACCATCGTCTAAAGACTCCCAGATGAAAACAATTTAAGACATCCCCAGTGGGGGGAAAAATATATGAGAGTCTCACAATCTCTTCACTAAAGTCTGAATTTTCATAACAGCCATAGATTTTCAAGCTGGAGGGACTTGGAAATTGTTTCTGCTGTCGCATCTAACATGTGATCCAACTACAAAAAATTCCTGACCACATCTTAATGAAAGGCGTTCTCTGAGAATGGACCCCTGCATGATTCTTAAACACCTAAACTTTGAGCCTTTCTGAGACATCTCTAAGTGTCTCTCCACTTCAAAGACATCTCTCAGGCAAATATCACAGAATATATTGCCTATGTTTTTATAGTGTTAGGTCTTATATACAAGTCATTAATCCATTTTGAATTCACTTTTGTTTATGGTGTTAGATAGTAGTCTGTTTTCATTCTTGTGCATGTGACTCTCCTGTTTTCCCAATGCCATTTATTAAAAAGTCTCTTCTTGTGAGATGTTTCTTAAAAATAGAAGGTGTTATGAAGGAATATAATGACATGAGTGTGGTGTGGTAGGATATATCTGAAGGGGGTGATCCTGTACCTCTAAATCA